TGGTATCAAAAGCCACTGAGAAGTCAAGTAGAGCCAGGATGGATGCGCTACCCCCATCCTGCTCCCACCAGAGATCATCTAAAAGCATGACCAATGCCATTTCCATCCCATATCTGGTTCTGAATCCTGACCGAAAGAGGTCCAGATAATCTGCTTCATCCAGGGTCCGCTGAAGCTGTTGTGTGACCACCTTCTCCACAACCTTCCCCCAAAAAGGGAGGTTGGGTACTGGATGAAAACTGTCCAGTATGGTGGGAATCAGCGATGGCTTGAGAAGGGGGCAAACCAACACCTTAAGAGACATAGGAACCACCCCCTCTCCCAAGGATGAATTAACCACCACTGGAACCCAGCCACATGTCCCCTCCCGGGTGGCCTTAGCCAGCCAGGAGGGACCTGGATCTAAGGAGCAGGTGGCCGAGCTCACAGTCATAAAGACCATGTCCACTTCCCCAGGCCCAACAGGTTCAAACTGTTGCAGATATAGGACAAGACTGTGCGCCAGGCATCTCCACCAGACCTGTACCAAAGCTGGTATCTACCTGGGAACAGATTCAAGTGATTTTGTCTTATTCAGTATAAAAGCAAAGTCTAGAAAAGAGAATCCAACAGATCTCTTGGGAAAGTCCCACTAAATAAAGTTTATCTTGTCCAGCCAGGATGAAGACCTACATCTTTGCCAAGTATTTCCAAGCACCTAAAACTGGGGAAAGGCAATGTAGAATTGAACTAAGGGGGAAATGGTCTTCAACAGGTGTGGTTCCAGTTAAATGATTTCAAGTAGACAGGATTCCATGATTCACACAGGAGTCCAGGATGAAATGAATTACAGTTCTAGGCAAAGCTTCAGGAAACCAGAATAACAAGAACTAGACAGTTCTTGCCTGGACAGTAAACCAGCAACCTAAGCCCACTTAAGATCTGAAAGTTTCCAGAAATTCCTGAAGCAAAAGCCTGCCCAGACTGACAAAAGACATGCTTAGGAGTCAGCAGAACTAAGTAGCAAAGCAAAGACTGGAGAATTGGGAATGTTAAAATGCTGGAATACCCAAGGCAATAAAGAGACTCAGTTCTGTAATGAGCAACATATACTTGCCTGCCTGCTTGCTTTTTCTTTTCTAGATTTCATGCTACAGCAACAACATACAGCCCTACCTGGAATTGGCCATTTTTGGAATATCTGGACAAGGAGTTAGGGATATGTCCATCATAATGAGTCCAGATACAAAAATAAGGGATAAGAGGCAATTTAATTCCATCATGCATTCTCAGTTTCCACTACACAAATTCAGTGCTAACCTGAAAGGCCAGCTCCAGGAAAAATTAGTTTGGGAAACTGAATAAGTGCCAAAGACCATTATTAGAAGAGCAGGGATTTAGTCCATTGCTATACAACCTTAATATAAACAGTGACTGGAATCTAATCAGATTGCAAAGAATCTTTTATTGGAACACTTGCCATCCCTTAAAGTCATCCCAGATATTACAGCAGAACATGGGCATAATAAATTCCCCTTCAATATGATACAGTCATGGTATTTCTATCCTAACAAAATTGAGAAACTGTAGTTATAATTTATACGAATCTGCTTCCTATAGTTTCTGTTCAGTGAGAAAAGTTAAGATTAGGAAAGGAAGGGAAGAGATGTTTTCTCACCACGGTGTAAACTTACGAACTTATGAAGAAAAAGCAGTCTACTCTTGCAGTTGGTTCAACAGATCTGGATACAGGATCTGCCTCAGCTGATGCTCTTTCACACAGGATTCTGTCAAGATCTATACTTCATGAATTGGGTGAGATCAGAACTAATAGTCAATTCACAAGCTGATCTCAGTGTAGTCTCTCTCCTCATGCTCACTTGGGAGGCCTGGGGGTGTATTTTCTGGGGAAAAAACAAGCAGCAGCAGCAGCAAAACATGTTGCTGTTTCCTAAACATGTATAAAATTTTGGACGGATAATTACCTTGAATTAATGTTTATAACCATACCAGCAAATAAATAAAGATATATATTATCTATTATCATTCAACATCTTTATTTTTAAGTAAAACAATTTCAGTAATCTGAGAAACCAAACCATACAATCTTTTAAACATTATACATAAAAGCTGTATTACATAGTATTTAATCCATAGACTGCAACATGGTAAGTTTTATCATTCCAAAGAACCAATCTGATTCTTAGTCCCAGAATTCCAGGGTCCTAATTTTTGCTGAATAATGTTGAGCTATGCAGTGAAAGCAATTCAATATAGCACTCACAATAATGTTCATTAGCTTCACACTGACTTTGTTGTTCAGAAGTATGTAACTCTGCCCCTCCCAATTTTTCTTATGAATTTTGATAATCAATAGATGTAAATGTAAAGCAAATAGGATCTGAAGCTGGTTCCCATGGCACATTAAATCTCCCTACTCTCATTCCGTATGACTCCTTAACCACAGACAGTGGCTTTCCTGTGGTTAAATATTCCATCTGAACCCAGAGCAACTGACATTTCCAGTTAACACTAACTGGAATTTGAAACCATTGTTCATGGTTGTCAAATTCTGGTTAGTGCTAATGAGAAATGTTCTCTGAATCTGGAATGGCCTCTATGCCAACCAGAGTAGTCTAATGCGGCATGTGAATTTCTCTTGGGGTGGGGGGGAACCTTTAGGATTTGCCTTTTAACAAATACATTAATTCTGAAAAGTAACGGGGGTATCCTTGATTAAATGTCTATGGAATAATAATTACATTGCAAATAACAGATATTAAGGTTGAAGGCCTTCCTCGTGATTGTTTAAAAAATAGTACACTTTCTATGGTTGAGAAGAGTAAGACAATTCTGGAACAGGTACTCTCTTGAATGCCACAATAAAAAAAATGCACAATTTTCTAATTGTTTTACCACAGTTTTTAAACTATGATTTTAGAAATTGTCTGGCATGTGCTTGATTCACTGCATTTGGTCTCCTGCCTGTTCCGCTTGTATTTGTAATAAAACATACTAAACCGCATGTACACATTTTTCTTATTACCTACAAATGTCATAATCACTGTCTCATAATTTCTTTTTGTTTCCCATCATGCCACAAACATTTTCTTTTTAGATTGCACCTGGTTAAGCAGCTAGGCACTGAGAATGTATTTTTAAAGGCTTTTGGTGGTTGTAGAATCCATTTCCATTTCCTCTTTTTATTGTCATGTTGCACGAAGATGCAAGAACCATGACTAAACAGAACAGACAAGGCCTCAACTCGATTAGCAGCTATAGCAACAGGTGGATAATCTTTTCCATCTGTACCTTAATGGCCCAAATAATTTGCTTCTTCAGAAACAGTCTGTAATCATCCCAGGAACAAATAAAATTGGGACAGATTTCACGTTTTTTTCCACTTGTTGCTTAAATAGCATCTTTTTTTTTCCTGTTTTCCTTTGAAATTATATCTATTGCAAAGCTTAATGTACAAATCCCAACATAACTCAGTCTAATTTGTAATCTCTATAAGTCATTGAGAGAACACTGACTAAAAAGTGATTCTCATTTAACTCAAAAATGACATACTTCTAAGTATATTAAGCTATACGCCCCTTCATTTTGGGGTGTTATGCAATTGCACAGAGCACCAGTCAGCAATTTCTTACAAGTAACAATTTTTCCAGGATAGCAGCTGCTGTTATACGTAGAGTCCTAGGAAAAGATCTTCAAAGTGCTGCACAGCCCTATAATGCTAGTCAACATAGGGCGTAACAGAATACCATTCATATTCTGTTATTAACAATTAGTAGTTGTAGTATACCTAAAAATGTACAGATTTGCCACACAGCTCACAATATGTCTTTTGTACAAATCAGACAGAAGCATCCACAAACAAGCTAATCTCTTTAGCAACTTTGCTAAAAGGCAACTTTGATCTGCTAAAAACTAATTTTCTAATCTGTGTCTGTTATTTGGTTCTATAGCCAATTAGTTGCAAATAAAAAATCCCTTTCCCCGAGTGTAATATTACATTCCTGTGAATCAATCATTCTGCTGATAGACTTACTGAATATTCTGTTAGTTGCTCTAAATTCTGTTAAGTAATATACGTCTGTGTATGTGTAGAGTTTTAGGTAACAAGTAACCTGAAATGTAGTGTTTGCTAATGTCTGTGGACTGTTGAAAAATGTCATGTTTGGAAGCGTGCATGAATAATCATCTTAATCTTGCTTGTCTAACTTTAATAAACTGCATGCAAAAATGATGGCACTTGAAAACTATGATTCCAATGTAGTGCAGCTTAACAAGCACAGCCTATGCTGTACAACTTAAAAAACATAGTTAGAGCTGCCCAAAGTTTACAGTTGAAACTTTGCTAAGTTTAGATTTGATAAAATTTTATATTTGATTTTGGTTTACTCTCATCATAATGTAGGAATTTTTTTTCTCAGTAGTTGGCGTAACAATATCATTACACTACAGCAATGAAATCACTACAGCTACAGTATCATATAAAGAAAGTGATTCAGTCTATAAGAAATGCACTTACTTCTGTGGTCCTGTATTTTTCTATCTATATCTATCTATCAAATTTATACAGCTGCCCATCTCACATCAAGGCTTTAGTGTCAAGGCAGACCCATTCCACAGTCTAGGATGGGAGCCACTATCAAGGGGGGGGTACTTATTTTCCTTTTCCTTTAATTCTTTTTATCATGTCTGGAATATGCATTGGTGTTGATATCAGTATTAATATTACTGTGTATTTGGTCTTAATACTGCAGCTTGGTGAACTTTTCCAGGTATGGGGATTTCAGTGTTTCTTGAACAGTTTTTCTACTTATTTCTGTATTGAGAACTGATCAGTACAAATATTTTCTTACTGAAGAGGGAAATGGGGAGGGAGTTCAACACAGGGAATACATTCATATATGCATCCAAAGACATGCAGTTGACATGCAGTATCTTCATCTATGTAGCATGATACATAAATCAATGTGAGTGAAATAAAAACGCATGTTCTGCCTCCACAGTCAAAAGCTGAGCTTTAAAGAACGGGTGCGGATGGCTAGCCCAAGAGGACAGAGTATCAAAAACAGACAAGCCTCAGTTGGGGACAGAAGATCACCAAGTACGGATATTACTGCAGAGGGCAGCCCAACAAAAGTGCAAAAGAGCTGGAGCTTCAATGACCGGACACGCTTCCGGCCTTCCCTGCGTTTGAAGAGTTCACAGCCTAAGCCAATCCCAGATAGTAAGACTTTTAAAATGTTAACTATCTTATTCATTATATTTACATCCCTCTTTACATTTAATCTTATCTCATAATTGTGAAGCCACAATACATTTGGAAAACATTGATCCTAGAATACTAATGTTCCTTATTGTAGGTTAATGGAAGGTACAGACTCCCACAGAATACAAGGGAACCCACCTTTACAAAATGTTTATTACAATAAGAAATTGATATAAAACAAGCTTCACTTATTCCTTATTCCTGTATTACTTTTTTTGAGTCATTATACTATAAACTAAACTCTTCCGTTACAATCTGTTCCCATTTTTCAGTCCTATATTTTTGCACGTCTTTTATTGTATAACTAGACAACCCGTGACCCATTGGGTCATCGTTTCAGAGCTATTTCTTTACCCAAACAGAGAAACAGAATGATAAGTCAAAAAACCAGTGGGAGTATGATCGACTTATGACTTGCTGCCGGCTTCCCATTGACTTTGCTTGTGGGAAGCTGGCAGGGAGCATCAGAAATCTTCCTTCCTCCCTTCCTCCCTCTTCTTCCCTCCCTCCCTCTCCCTTCCTTCACTTCCACCTTCCTCCCTTCCCTCCCTCTTCTTTCCTTCCTTCCCTACCTCCCTCTCCCTTCCTTCCCTTCCTTCCTCCCTCTCACTCACTTCCTTCCTTCTCCTCCCTGGTGAAGCTCCCTCCTCCCCCTCCTTGGCCTGCCACTTTGCTGGGGGGAGGTGGAACCAAGGGAGCCACTGTCTGTGAGGAAAACTGCACCCCCGCTCCCCATTCCAGCATGTCACCAAGGGCCCCTCCCTTGAGGGGGGAAGAGGGCTGACCCATTGACCACTGGCACCCCCCAGCCAGCCCTACCTTGCCCTGCCCTGCCAGCAGGCATTTGAGCTGCTCCCTCATCCTTCCCCCACCGCCAACTGCCATTAAGAGATTTCAGATTTCTGCCTTGGTTCCAAAGCAGCCAATTTCCACTCACTTGTCAGGCCTTGCTGCCAGCCAGTTGGGCATAGGGGACAGAGGGAAGTGGGAGAGGTCAAGAATGTCCCCATGATGATCACGTGACCTGGGCTGACTGCTGCAGTGTAGTGCTGAAGCAGCCACAAATTTTCCAAATTTCAATCCCACAGGAGTCATGGATCCCAGAATTTGGACTCATTCTGTAAGTTAGCCCATTTGAGGTACCTTGGTTCAAAAAGCGTTCCCCTATGACACAGTTTTGCCCAGTATAGACAGGAGAGTTTTAGTAGCATATAGATTCAATCTTATTTTCTAAATTTTTCTTTATACTTAGAGTAATGCTTTACAGTACTAATAATCTATCCCCTCCACCCTCCTATGTATATTATTTTTCCTAATTCTTTAGGTTGAATCCTTCATGCTCTTACCTTCCTCCTCACTTATGGATTCCAGACCCAGGACTGCTGTCCTCTCCTCTCTTCCAAAAGTGTCCATTCTCAGGAGGTATCTGAGATGCCTTTTTAAAGGGTCCATTCCTCCTTACTAGGTGGGTGGGGTCTTAACAAAGCACAGGTGACAGGAAGGATATTCTTCCACACTCTTGCTGAAATTAATTGCTCTTACTAAGGATCCCAGAGAGTCCATTACATCCACCTCTAATTCTTGCCTCCTCCCCCCAAGCTGATCTTTGCTCTGCTCTCTGAAGTTTTGCATGGCTCCTGATACATCCTCCTGCCTATGCACTGCTCAGCCCCCTGCTTCTCCTGAAAATTAGTTCATCAAAACTATGTCTCTGTTTTCAGTTTCCATTTTTATCTACATCTTCCAGCAATCTCTCCCTCCCTCCCAGGTGTCCTTCCTCTTTTCTTTTCCCATGTGATCTGGTTCTTTTCATATCTCCCAGCTATCTCATTCCTTCTGTCTTGGCACAAAAGTTTTAATCCCTTAAGGGTTGGGCTGGGAGAAAATTGCTGTGCATGTCCAGGCATCCCCCCTCCCCGCACCACCACTTGCTGCAGGTATACAGTCAATGAATTCTATCACCTGTGTATGTGCTTGCACTTGAAGCCATTATGGATTCTCTTGCCTGTTTGCTCAGGCATCTGAGAGATGTGTTTTCTAGGTTTACAATAGCCTCTTTGATGTGCAGTGACAGACTCATCC